GCTGGCTGAGGAATTCTGGGAGTTGAAGTCCACAAGTCTTAAAGTTGCCAAGGTTGGACACCCCTGATCTAGATCCTTGTACTTATCCTTTGATAAGAAGTCCCATCCAACTCCTAATCCCTTTTGAGCTGAAGAAACCAGACAATTTGCCATTCTGAGTAGCTAAAATTATTATTTTTGTCTTTTTAAAATCAAACAGTCAATGTTACAAATAAAATGTTTTTCTTTAAAAAAAAAAAAAGACAGCAACATTAGCATAAATCATGCATTTAGGTATGAATGACTATGTCTGGCTCATTTTATCTCAAAACCAGCTCATTTTATCTCAAAACAGGACTCAGTGCTAAATCACTTGGTGTGTACTGCCTGCTAAGCTGAAGCCAATTCCAGAATCCACTGGTAGAGAGGATCCCTTCCCACTGAACAGTTCAGCCCAATTAAGCCTAAGTCTTATCGCCTTCTCAGATTAACATTCAAATGGTGCCACATAACAGCCATTTTGATCAGCGGACCAGAAGTCCCATCGCCTTACTTGGATCTATCAGAGCTGTTGTCCAAAACTGTCCGGCCTGTGGTGTCCATTCGCTGTATCACAAGATGGTCCAGCACCATTTTCTTCTTTGCTCTTTCTATAATCTCCTCTTCCACTGTTCCCTTTGTAACCAAGCGATAGATATTTACCTGCAGAATCCAGGGGATGCGTGAAATAGCTATAAAGGTAGCTTTTTATCCCTGGTGCAGCCAAGGTGAAGTGCAAAAATCTCTCTTGAATCTGTCCCTAGTTCAATGATTCATCCTGACCTTTTTAAAGGATCGGGAAGGGACAGGTATCAAGGACCAACATGCTGCAAACCATAAGCTACCGGCTTCTAATACCTTACAACAAAAGTAGAAATTATCCCACCAGGATTATTTACCTTTCTGAAGGTAGATGTCTTGTTTTCACCCATGTCTACCAAGGCAGCCCCCTTAGGTGAACTTTCAAATATCTAAGACCAACCCCACCCCAAATCCCCCCTACCTATGTTATTTAACTTTGCTGCCCACTATTTCAAAAACAACAAAACAAATAACCAGAATTTTCTTAGCCAGCCTATCTAATATAAAAAGGCAGACTCTGAAAATCAGAAATGCTGATCTGGGCCAACTGAGGAAGAGCCACAAATAAAATGTGCCTGCTCCACAATTTGGCCAAATTCAAACTGCTCAATTCCCACAATCCTTAGTAATAAGTGAAGCTCAACTGGCAGGGGCTACTCAAGCAGACCAATAGGAAGCCCCCCCCTCCCCTAATGGCCTTCATCACTGGGTTACAGGTTCTAAATCCCATTGCTCAGTGAGGTAAGAGTCAACTGACATGGCAGACAACCAATCTGGTCTATGCTTCAGATGTTGGTCTCGAGACCCGCAGATTGGATTTCTAGTCCCACTTTAGGCATGAAAGCCAGCTGGATGACTTGGGACCAGTCACTCCTTCTCTGCCCAACCAACCTCATGGGGTTGTTGTGGGGAAAACAGGAGTCGTATTAAGTATGTTCACTGCCTGGAGCTAATTATAAAAGCAATAAAGGCAGAATAAAAATGGAATAAATAATCATATTACTTAGCCCTTGTCACATTCAGGGGATCTGAAAGAATAGGGCAATCTAGTTAACAGCCAGATAGTACCTGCCTGGAAATAAATTTCTCCCCTTGTTTTCTTGTAGCCAGAGAAGACAAAGCAACTGGGAAGGAATTAATTTACAGACTGCTACCCTCTGGCTGTTAACTAAATTTCCCTATTTCTGACTCCTTTCAGATGCGCTGAGTGTTGGCTCCCAGAATCCCCCATTCCCCTTTGCTAGGAACTGAAGTCCCCACCATTATCTAAAGGAGGAGAATTGTTTCTCACTAACTTGTTTCTTTTGCCCAATCCGATGAGCACGAGCCTGAGCCTGCAGGTCATTCTGGGGGTTCCAGTCCGAATCGAAAATCACCACCGTGTCAGCCGAGGCCAAGTTGATCCCCAGGCCGCCAGCACGCGTGGAGAGTAGAAAGCAGAAGTCCTAAGGACGTGCAACGAAGGGAAACACACATTTAGGTCTGTGTTTGGATAGGCCCAGGAGGAGAAGTCAGCAAAGGACCAGCCAGGTTACGGGCCAGCAGGGCATCACAAGCAGATGGAGACATGTACGGTAATACCAAAGTTCTTCTACACCAGTTACAGGTCGTCCTCAACTTACAAACATCCATTATATATTGACCATTCAAAGTTACAACTGCACTGAAAAAAAGGTGGCTCACGACCCTTTTTCACACTTATGACCATTGCAGCCTCCGCTCGGTCATGTGATTTACATTTGGATGCTTGGCAACTGCTTCATATTTATGACGGCTGCTGTGCCGCAAGGTCGTTTGAACCCTTTTTGTGATCTTCTGACAAGCAAAGTCAGTGTGGAAGAAGCCAGATTCACGAGTTACTCATTTAATAACGGAAGTGATTCACTTAACAAACACAGCAAGAAAAGGTGACAAAATGGGGGCAAACCTCACTTAACAGCCTCGTAAATTTCGGGCTCAATTATGGTCACGAGTTGAGAACTGCCTGTGGTTGTTTACTGACAGAGCACAGAGCAGGGGAGCCTGTTCTCTTGTCCTCTCCCAAACATTACCTTAAAAGAGGAGTAAGAAGAGGCCTCCTCAGAAACATGTCGCTGTTATGCAATGCCTCTAGAGATAATCCTCGACTTACAACCACAATTGGGGAGGAGTTTTTACTCTCCCTAATAAGGTAGCCAGAAGAAGTTGTCAACAAAGCTCAAAACACGGCCAAGATATGCTGGCTAAGCAAACCATGTTTCCATTGCGGTGAGAAGCGGAGAGTCCACTCCTGTGACCTACAGCTGGTCCTTCAGCAACTCTTGAGTGCAAACTAAACTTTTCCTTCCTCTGTCCAGTTCTGCCAGCCTCCCTCCAAGACTCTTCATATCTCCAGGCCTTTGCCAACAGAAACACAACCGACATCTTCCTTCCCTCCCACCAAGGAAGCGCCCATTGCTACGCCTTGTAGCACCCCCGTCCCAGGCAGCCCCCGCACCTCCTCCCCACCTGTTTACCCACACCTGGCTCCAGCCCTACCTCCGAGCCTTCAGCGTTGAAATGATCCAGGGCCTGCTTCCGGATTTCTCCTTTGATGGAACCGTCCAGGCGCTGCAGAAAACAATAAGTGAAGAGGTCAGGGGATTTCCAAAGCAAACCTCACCTCCAACCCACTCCAGCTGCCCCCAGGTCTCCTCCAGAAACTCCAATCTCCTCCGATGGTTTCCCCTTCAGCTTAGAGCAAGACAACAGTCTAAAAATAACCACGATTAAAAATAACTCAGGCTGTTCCTGCTGCTGGGAATGGTGGCCAGGAGGCAGAAAGATCAAGGTCCTGCAGCTAAGAGGGTTTATGGAGGGAAAAGAAAAAAGAAAAAAGGAGACAAACAGAGCTATCAGGGGAAAGTGAGCCACTCCAAGAAGTGTGCTTCCCCAGGGTCTGGATTAAATGGTATCTTAAAACGGATTACATCCTACGATTAAGGGCTGAACGATATGTAGGTTAATACAGGGAGTCGTTGACTTACAGTCACATCTGAGCCCAACCTTTCTTTGGTTGAAGTGAGTTTTACATTTGCTAAGTGAGTTCTGCCCCATTTTACGACCTCTCTTGCCAGAGTTGTTAAACGAATCACTGCTGTTGGCAGCAAGTTTTTTTTAAATGAATCTGGCTTCCCTGTTGACTTCGCTTGTCAGAAGGTTGCAAAAGGGAATCACATGATCCCGGGACACTCTGCAACTATGAGTCTGTTGCCAAGCCTCTGAATTTTAATTATGTGACCACGGGGATCCTGCAAGGCCCATAAGTGTGAAAAATGGTTGTAAGTAGAACCCTTGCCCATTATAGCCAAGTTCCTCCAGAAAGCCTGCAAGATTCAATTATCTGCAAACATCCCCCTTAAAGCTGGTCTTTCTCCTTCGTCCACCATAAGGCAAAATACACTTGAGAGCCTCCTGCTGCCCCACCACCATATCTATCTGTCTGTCTGTCTGTCTATCTATCTATCCATTCATGTGTCTGTCCATCCATCCATCCATTCTTCCATCCATCCAGTCTACCTATATATCTATGTATCATCTATCTATCTATCTATCTATCTATCTATCATCTATCTATCTATCTATTATCTATCTATCTATCTATCTATCTATCTATCTATCTATCTATCTATCTATCTATCATTTCTATCATCTATCTATCTATCCTCTCCCTCCCTCCCTCTATCATATCTATCTATCTATCTATCTATCTATCTATCTATCTATCTATCTATCATCTATCTATCTATCTATCTATCTATCTATCTATCTATCTATCTATCTATCTATCTATCTATCTATCCCTCCATTCATGTGTCTGTCCATCCATCCTTCCATCTTTCCATCCATCCATCCAGTCTGTCTGTCTGCCTGCTGCCTCTCTCTCTCTCCCTCCC